AACTAATTTTTGTATTTTTAGTAGAGACGGAGTTTCACCATGTTGGTCAGACTGGTCTTGAACCACTGACCTCGTGATCTGCCTGCCTCGGCCTCCCAAAGTCTGGGATCACAGGTGTGCGCCGCTCCATCCAGCCAGTTCTTGCTGTTACTGACAAAGGCACGAGGCCCCACTCCACCCACCACACTCCAGAGGTGGTCAGGGTGCCTCCCCAAACCGCCAGCCCCCTCAACCAGCCCGGCCCCGCTTTCCTGACATGCACAGTTCCCGCCACCCCTGGTTCACCGCCTGGGACCTGTGTGCCCCAGGTAGAGCTGCCATAGCATCCTGTCAGCTGCTCCATAGTGTCACTCCTGGTTAGTCACAGTGTGGTTTAGGGTTGCACTTCTCACCAGGTCAGACAAGACTTGGAAGGAACAGGGGACATTTCCTGATCGGCTAAGGCGTGTTGAGCACCCAAAATCACAGGATGCTACAACTTTGCTTGTGTCTTACTCGCCACGCCCAACTGCCTTGGAGGTCCGTGTGATGAGCCCCCACATGCAGATGAGGTCACAGCCTTGGAGCTTTGAGCCCCATGTGGTGGTCACCTCCCCTGGGAAGCCCTCCCCGACTCCCAGCTGGGTCAGGATCCCTGCTATAGGCTCCTGTCGGCCTATAAACCAAAAAGTGTCTGAAACAGGCCTCAGTCGGTTTAGAGCTTTATTTTGCCATGGAGAAGGGCACAGCCAGGAAAAACAGACTCAGGCTGCAGTAGGGTCTCTGGCCTGTGCTTTTTTCCAGAGAAGGTTTTGAGGACTTTGGTATTTAAAGAGGAAAGAGGGGCCAGGCGCGGTGGCTCGTGTCTGTAATCCCAGCACTTTGGGAAGCCAAGGCGGGTGGATCACCTGAAGTCAGGAGTTTGAGACTAGCTTGGGCAACATGGTGAAACCCCATCTCTACTAAAAATATAAAAAACTGGCCAGGTGCAGTGGCACACGCCTGTAATCCCAACACTTCGGGAGGCTGAGGTGGGTAGATCAAGAGGTCAGGAGTTTGAGATCAGCCTGGCCAATATGGTGAAACCCTGTCTCTACTAAAAATACAAAAATTAGCTGTGCATAGTGGTGGGCGCCTGTAGTCCCAGCTACTCAGGGAGCTAAGGCAGGAGAATTGCTCGAACCCAGGAGACAAAGGTTGCAGTGAGCCAAGATCACGCCATTGTACTGTAGCGTGGGCAACAGAGCACGACTGCATCTCAAAAAAAAATTAATTAATTTAAAAAATAAATAGACGAGGTCAGGTGTTCGAGACCAGCCTGGCCAGCATGGTGAAACTCCATCTCTACTAAAAATACAAAAAAAAATTAGCTAGGTGTGGTGGCGGGCACCTGTAATCTCAGCTACTCTGGAGGCTGAGGCAGGCAAATCGTTTGAACCCAGGAGGCAGAGGTTGCAGTGAGCTGAGATCGTGCTGTTATACTCCAGCCTAGGCAACAAAATTGAAACTTCGTCTCAATAAATTAATTAATTAAAATAAAAATACAAAAAATTAGCCAGGTGTGGTGGCAGGAACCTATAATCCCAGCTACTCTGGAAGCTGAGGCATGAGAATCACTCGAACCCAGGAGGCAGAGGTTGCAGTTGAGCCAAGATCATGCCATTGCACTCCAGCCTGGGTGACAGAGCAAGACTCTTTCTCAAAAAAAGAAAGAAACTTTAGGGGTATCTGAGACCTCAAGAAACCTGGGGTCGACAGAGTACTCCCAGTGCTTAGTGGCTGTGTGACCTTGGGCAAGTTTCTTTACCTCTCTGAGCCTCTGTGTCCTTGGCTGCAGTGTCTAGGAAAGCATCCGCACACAGTGATGTGTGTGATCCAGGCCATTCTTTCTGTGTTCTGTGCATGCACAGCCATGCCTGCTGAGAATCCTGCCACCAACGATTCCTCAGTGGCATGGGGCCAGATGGAGCATGCTGCCGCCTCCCTGCAGGCTCTAGGAGCTGGTCCTTGGGCCGAGGACTCCATCACAGTCGTCTGCACGGGATCTGGACAAGTCTTCTAGAACCCTCTAGAAGCGTGGGGTCTTGGTGTGGCTGGATTAGAGGCATCGCTCCATGAGATAGGGACACGGGAGGAGGATGTTGTCTGGGATGGCTGTGTTTGCGGTGTCTCTGGGCATCCGGGGGGGCTGGCCGGCCGTGCTTGCAGACAGATGCAGCAACTCACAGATGGGCGGAGATTCCAGAGTGTGGGCGTGGACGGACTAGGCCAGGGACCTGTGAGGTTCGGGAGGACCTGGGATGGTGGGTGTTGGAGTGCTTGGAAAAGGAGGAATTAGGCCAAGCAGGTGCCCAGCCTCTGTCCCGTGGGAAGCTCCGTGCTCTTTGGAGTAGCCCCCACATTGGGAATGGAGTCTCCATTCTGGTAGCTTGTGCACGGGAGGCCAGGCCACCCAGATGGGGCCAGGAGGCTCCAAGCAGCACAGAGCACCAGCCCAGGAGATGCAGTCTCCAAGGTGGCCTACTAGACAGTAGCGAGCTCTTCCCAGAGTTTTCAAGTTTAAAACAGAGCCAGGCACAGCGGCTCACACCTGTAATCCTAGCACTTTAGGAGGCCGAGGAAGGAGGATCGCTTGAGCCTCAGATTTCAAAAGCAGCCTGGGCAACAGAGAGAGACTCTGTCTCTACAAAAAATTTAAAAACTTAGTCTGGCATGGTGATTGATGCCTGGAGTCCCAGCTACTCAAGAGGCTGAGCCATGATGGCGCCACTGCACTCCAGCATGGGGGACAGGGTGGACCAGAGTCAGACCAGGCGTGGTGTCTCATACCTGTAATCCCAGCACTTTGGGAAGCTGAGGCAGGCAGATCACCTGAGCTCAGGAGTTCGAGACCCTGGCCAATATAGGGAAACCCCGTCTTTACTAAAAATACAAAAATTAACCGGATGTGGTGGCGGGCACCTGTAGTCCCAGCTCCCAGGAGGCTGAAGCACAAGAATGGCTTGAACCCGGGAGGCGGAGGTTGCAGTGAGCCGAGACCATGCCGCTGCACTCCAGCCTGGTGACAGAATGAGACTCTGTCTTGGAGAACAACAAAAAAAGGAACCCTTTTGTTCCAAAGACCCGTCAGTCTTCTCTGCTCTTCCTGCATCGTCTGACCCTGGCTCCCCGCCACCCCCAACATCTCACCCTTACCCAACCCCCACCTGCCCCAGAGGCCCAGCCCACGTGCCCCTATGCTTCCCAGAGAGGAGACATCCTGTTGGACATGCAGACCACCCTTCCTGCAATCCCAGCCGCGTCCCCAACCCTGGTACAAGCCCGCAGGCTGCTGTGGAGCTCTGCCTGGACCCCTTCTCCAGCCCCCACACCTCAGCCTCACAGCCCAGCTCAGGCCCCGTCTCCAGGGCTAATTGACCCCAGCAGCCCCTCCAGGCTACAGGGAGGGGACAGCGGAGCATGTCGGGGGCTCAAGCAGCAGATAGGCCGTGACGGTTGCCTGGGCAGTGAGCAAGGAGAACGCACGGCCCCCACAGCCCAGACACGGTCTGTTTCCCATTCACAGACCTTGGCCGGCGAGCAGGCGGGGGATTTCCAGCAGGTCAGCAGTCACACCGGCCTCTGTGCGCGGACCCTGCTAGGACCATCAGTCATCTCCGCTCTACTACCCCGAACTTCAGCCACTCCGGGACACAGACACAGGATCTTTATTTTTTTATTATTTATTTATTTTTGAGACAGAGTTTCGCTCTTGTCATTCAGGCTGGAGTGCAGTGGTGCAATCTTGGCTCACTGCAACCTCTGCGTCCCGGGTTCAAGCAATTCTCCCGTCTCAGCCTCCTGAGTAGCTGGGATTACAGGCATCTGCCACAATGCCTGGCTAATTTTTTGTATGTTTAGTAGAGACAGGGTTTCACCATGTTAGCCAAGCTGGCCTCGAACTCCTGACCTCAAGTGGTGCACCACCTCAGCCTCCAGAAGTGCTGGGATTACAAGTGTGAGCCACCATGTTGGTCCTTGAGAGCCCGCTTAAACTTCCTGCTCTCTGGCGGGGAGGTCTCCCCAGACTTGCTCAGACAGGGTGGGCATCGTGATTCAAGTCCCTTGTCTCTTAAACGTGTCCTATGGTACTTTGGTGACCCGGTGATACCCCCTCTGGCTGGGAGTCCCTCAGGGGAGCAGCCCTGCCCCTTCTCTAGGCTGTTTTATGCCCAACACAGGGCCTGTGCTGGGAACACTAAGAAAATGCCGGAAAGGCTGGCCACCATGGCTCACACCTGTAATTCCTGCACCTTGGGAGGCCAAGGCAAGAGGATCGCTTGAGGCCAGGAGTTCAAGATCAGCCTGGGCAGCATAGCGAGACTCCATCTCTACAAAAAATTTTAAAAATTAGTCAGGCATGGTGGCACACATCTGTACTCCCAGCTACTCAGGAGGCTGAGGCAGGAGGATCACTTGAGCCTGGGAGTTGGAGGCTACCGTGAGCTATCTATGATTGCACCACTGCATCCCAGCCTGGGTGACAAAGCAAGACTGCGTCTCAAAAAAAGAGAAAAGGATGGATGGACGGACCGACAACTGAGGCTAGAAACCAGCTGCAGCCGGGCGCAGTGGCTCATGCCTGTAATCCCAGCACTTTGAGAGGCCGAGGCGGGGGGTCACCTGAGCCCAGGAGTTTCAGACCAGTCTGGCCAAATAGTGAAACCCTGTTTCTGCTAGAAATAGAAAAATTGGCTGGGTGTGATGGCGCGTGCCTGTGATCGCAGCTACTCGGGAGGCTGAGGCAGGAGAATCACTTGACCCTGGGAGGCAGAAGTTGCAGTGAGCCGAGATCACGTCACTGCACTCCAGCCTGAACAACAGAGCAAGACCCTGTCAAAAAACAAAAGAAAAAACTGCATGGGAGTAGGCAGGGCGTGGAGAGAATGTTTTGGCGGATCAGGGACACCTGGTGGGAGAAGCAGCCGGTCCGGTGGCCAAGCCGGTGCCGACTGTCATGCCCCTTTGTCTTCTTCTTCCAGATGAAGATGATGCCAACAGACTCGGGGAGAAGGTGATCTTGCGGGAGCAGGTGAAAGAACTCTTCAATGAGAAATACGGTCAGTGCCTGTGGGCGGGGTCAGTGCACCAAGCCTTCTGTGGCGGGGTTCGGGGAGGGGGTCCCTCTGCAGCCAGCCTCGCCTTCAAGCTGGCCTGCCTGCTCCCTTGGGGACATGGCTGCTCTGCTCAAGACCCATGGTGTGTGTGTGTATTGATTTTCTTTCTTTCTTTTTTTTTTTTTTTTTTTTAAAGCAGGGCCTCACTCTGTTGCCCAGGCTGGAGTACAGTAGCTCAATCTCTGCTCACTGTAACCTCCACCTCCTGGGCTTAGGTGATCCTCCTGCCTCAGCCTCCCAAGTAGCTGTGACTACAAGTGTGTGCCACCACTCCCAGCTTTTTCTTTTTTTCTTTTTTTTGGAGATGGAGTCTTGCTCCACCAATAGGCTGTGTAATGCAGTGATGCGATCTCGGCTCACTGCAGCCTCCACCTCCTGAGTTCAAGCAATTCTCCTGCCTCAGCCTCCCTAGTAGCTGGGACTACAGGCATGCACCGCCATGCCTGGCTAATTTTTTTATATTTTTAGCAGAAGTCTCAATCTGTTGCCCAAACTGAAATGCAGTGGTACAATATTGGCCTGCTGCAACCTCCGCCTCCTAGGTTCAACCAATTTTCCTGCCTTAGCCTCCCCAGTAACTGGGATTAGAGGAGCCCACTACCACGTCCGGCTAATTTTTGTATTTTTTGGTGACGGGGCTTCACCATGTTGGCCAGGTTGGTCTTGAACTCCCGACCTCAAGTGATCCACTCACCTCGGCCTCCCAAAGTGCTAGGATTACAGGCGTGAGCCACAGC